TTACAAAGGATCGTTTTGAAACATTGGGTAATGAAATTGTATCGATCTTCAAGAGTGAAAATAAAGCAACTTATTTCCAAGCATTTGTATGTGAAAAGGGAAAAACTGTGGTGGCCAATGGGAAATTGTGGAACCACTACAATTATCTAAAAAAATGTTTGCGAAATGACCAATTGTTGAACGATAAATTGACTAGGCGACCTACAAATATTTTGACGGACGATGAACTTAAAAATGGTAATAATTTACGTTTATCTATTTATATTATATAATAAAAGTTACTTTATAAATTTAATAATATTTATAAGTATATTATTTTATTGTATATAGGTAACGATGATCTCAAGTGGCTTCTTAATCATTTAGAACCTTGGGAAGAAGTAGTTGAAAGATGGAAATCATCTTATGAAGTTCGAAGATATTATCTTTCTAATCCTGAGTTGACTGTTTACTCGTACATGAGTAAATTCCCGTGTTTAAAAACGTAATCAGGAAGAGAACTGGTAATTTATAAACACAAATTTTTTTCAAATTAAATTGTAATTACAAATATGATGTATTATGTTTTAAAAATATTCTTTTTTCTAGTTTTCAATTGATTTCAACTTATTACATCCAAATAATCACTTTATTGAAAAAGAGCAATGGGAAAAAGTCAGAAATTTTTTACTGGCAACTATTGAACAAGAAACGAATATCCGAAATGACGATGAACTTGTTCTGATAAGTTTATTGTCTTCTGGTTAATTGAATTTAGGTGGAATAATTTAATTTTGGTTTTTCCTTGTGCCTTAATTTTGATTTTGATATTTTTATTAGCTAATAGATGGTAAAAAAATTAGTTATTCTTTAAAAAAATAATAGACATATTTTTAATTGCAGATATATAATATAGAAATTATAAAAGTTTAAACTGAATTGTAAAAATTATTAATCTAGTTGTGATTACTAAGTTATTTATTAATTTGATTTTTTTATAATTTGAGGAATAAAACTCGCTACTCAATTACAGAAGCAATAAATTTTTGAATAATATTTAACGACATATTTTGTAAATTTGATTGGCTTATTTACAGATCAACTAGATTTTTTATTATTTTATTTATTGTACCATATAATAAAGCCAAAAAGAAGCGGCAAAAGGAAGCGATCAGAAAATATAGAAACTCTTAAACTATCTTTGTAAGAACGTAGAGAATCGTTCATTTTAAGACTCGAGGTAATTATATTAGCTATGTATGGGCTTCTAAATATTTATTTTACTAAATCTACATGGCTTTTTTTAAACATCCTTATTAAAATTTTATACTCAATATAAAATGCTAACTTATTAACAGGGAAAGAATGAAATTGAGCCGACACTACAATCTATGAGAGAGAGCTGGTATATTCAAGATCACAATACGTCCCAGCCCTTCATTGTTTTCGTTGGACCTGCTGTAAATATCGAAAAGTACTACGTTGTAGTCAACGAAAAATTATTTGATAGTGCTACCGTATTAGATGCCATAGAGTTGGCTTTTAATATATTTTTTAGCTTAAACTGTCAGTATCCAAAAAAGACTGAAACCATGTGGTGTTTTTTACAAAAAGTGTTGTTATCTATTGATCTTCCAAGCGACAGTATAACGATTGATAGTTCTGCTCTGATAGGTCATATTCATAATTTATAAATCGAATAATAGTTATAAGTAAAAATAGTTATAAAATAGTTATAGATAAACATGGAATTAATCGATTGTAATATTTGTAGTGATTTTTTTACAAACTATAAATTATTACTATGTCACATAGTAAAATATCACAATGATAGTAATTTTCGATACTTTTTCCAAAATTGTAATAGAATATATTCTTCTTTTTCATCGTTTCGAAAACACGTAACCCAAAATCATAATGAACTTTTCACGGATACTAAAAAAAATATTGAATATAATCCTATCGACAATCAAACCGAAAATAATGTTCAAACTATTACGGACTATAATACAAAATGTCAAAATTTGAAAGGAATGCTATCTAATGACAGTAATAGTGATTCAGATGATACAATTATGTACGATTCATCCAATGAAATCAATTCGGATGAAGAATGTACCATTTCATCAAACTACCAACTTTACAAAAATATCGTTTTAAATTTCTGTGCGAAAATTTCAAATTTAAAAATTCCACGAAAATATATAAACGAAATTATTGAAGACACCGACATTCTTTTATCAAACATTTTAAGTATTTTGAAACGCGAAATTAATACTAATAAGTCAGAAAACTTAGATGATATTATAAATAACTGTTCCAAATGCTTAGAATTTGTTAATACAGAAGTATAAACGTTTTACTACGTTCAAAAAAATGAAAACGTACGTTGAACCTATCAGCTACCACATTGGCGAATGAACCGAATATCGACAGCGTAATTCACAACTTACATTAACTCACGTTCCTGTAAACGCTCAGTTTATTCCGTTAAGATGCGTTCTAACAAATTTCTTTGAATTGCCAAACATGTATTTTGTCACCATGACTTACATACGTAAGTTAATGTTGAATGATAAAATAATCACAAATATTGTCCAGGGTACGTATTAGAAAGAACGATTTTGGACATTTGAAAATAAAGTACGGTTACCATTAATAATGTTTTTCGATGACTACGAAAACAATCATCCGTTAGGTTCACATAAGGGTTTATCTAAAACCGGTGCTGTTTATGTAAATATACCTGTTCTTCCACCGCAGTACCAAGCCAGAATTGAAAATATTTTTCTGTTTATTTTATTCAATTTCCTTGATAGACAAGTTATCAAAAATTCAATTATATTTACTAGAGCCATTGAAGAATTAAATTTTCTTATTCGAGAAGGGATTGACGTCGAATTACCATGTGGGGCCAAACACATCTACTTTGAATTAATTTTATTTACTGGCGATAATCTCGGGCTGCACAGTGTACTCGGTTTAGTCGAAAGTTTCAATTCGAATATCTTTTGTCATCACTGCTTAGTTTCAAAATCTCAAATGAAGAACATTTTCCTTGAAAAACAGTGTACTTTACGGACAGTTAATAATTACGAAATTCTCTTAGCATACAAAGATCACAAAATTAGTGGCATCAACGAAAGATGCGTTTTACATGATTTAGACAATTTTCATATGTCGAAAAATATATGTGTTGATGTCATGCACAACATTTTGGAAGGTATTTGTCGGTATGATATAGCATCTTTATTGAACTATTATGTATTTGAAAAAAAGTTATTTTCGCTACAAATTTTAAATGCGAGAATTCGAGGATTTGACTATGGGATAGGTTGCAATATAAATAAACCGCCAGAATTGGATGAAAAAGCGTTAAAAAAAGGATGTATAGTTATGTCGTCTTCTGAAATGTTTCGTTTGGTCGTTAATATAAATCTTATTATTGGCTTTTTAATACCAAATAAGTGCTAACATTGGCAAATGTATCTGCTTTTAAGATCTATTATCCTTATAGTTTCGAGTGCAAAAATTCACCCCACAACTTACCAACAATTAGAAATTATATTTTATGAACATCTTGATTTATTAACCACTTACTTTCCTGACAACTTCAAACCGAAACATCACTTTTTAATTCACTATCCCCATTTTATGCAGTTGTTTGGCCCTTTGTGGAAATTATGTGTCCTTCGTTTTGAAAGCAAAAACCAAGAAGGAAAGCATATTTCCCACAATACAACTAGTCGCGTGAATATCAACAAAACAATTGCAATTAAACACCAATTATACCTTAATTACAGATTTATATAAAAAAATAAAAATCAATCTATTATTCAATCCTCAAAACACAAAACTACATTTATAGAAGCCTTGCCGAATTACCGAGATTATCATAATTTGATTAAAAATGTATCAACAATCGCATGTCTTAAAAATCTTCAATTCTATGATAAAACTATATGTAAAAATTGTATTCTTGTAAAATTTTCTTCTGGTGGAGCTGTATTTAAAATTGTTCACATTATTTTATTTATTGATTCCAAGCATATTTTAATCGTTAAAGAATTAACCGATGTTTATTATGATGAGTTTTTGGATGCGTTCAAAATTTATAATTTGAATGCTTATAAATGGGATAAGGTAGAAGAAGACGATTTACACGATACTATTATAACTAATAAAGCATTATTCGCAGATGGTTATAACTATATTTCAAAAAACTGGATATAATTAAAATAAAATTCTTTTCGAACATATAAAATTGTATGTTGTATCTGTTCTCATTCTATGTCTACTTCCTCCATAGAAACAATATTATTTAAAAAAAATTGAATTAGAATTTTAACATTAACATTTGCACACAGTAAAAAAATTGTAAAATATAATTATTTAAGAAAATATCTACTTTGATGCTACAAACTAAGGCTAAGAGATGTCGTTTCAATTCACACAAGCGGCGGAACATATCTTCTATTACTATATAAAGAAAATCCTATTTATAGTTAGACATGTAAATATGCGAGCGATAAAATAGTTAGATTAGGTTAGGTGCAATTGCGAATCTTAATATAATTAAGATGTATGTACCCACTAAATTGATACATGATATTAATATTAACTGTAATAACAACATTAACATCTACATCAACACAAATAATCGTTCCAAAATTTTTTTCCAACTTCTTTAGACATAATAAAATTTATTATTTTTTGCTAATCGTGTAGCTGAAATTTATTAAATATTTAAGTAAAATTTGCTATGTATATTGTAAACTTTATTGGACTGGATATTAAATGTATTTCCTGTTCGCAGTATTATTTACTATAAGTTTAGTCAAATTTGCTATGTAACATAGTAAAAATTACTACTTTCAAATTTTACTATGTAACATAACAATTTTTGCTACAGTCTGAGTATGTCCCACTTTTACTATGTTTTATAATAAATTCCACTACAATTGTAGTAAATTTTATAATAACATTTTTTTCAGTGTAAGAGCGGCAGAGCAGCAAACGAAGAAACGTGAGGAATACTTAGCCAAAGAGATTTGCTCTGCAATTTTCTCGACGGACTTCGACTCGCATCTTTATTGTCGATACTTTGAGCCAACTGAAGGGCTTCGGGCGAGTAGGCAATACGAACCAATGTACGTTTATCTTTCGAAATGCTTTTGACAGGTTGATCGAAGCTCGCGAACGTACATGCATTACACCGACCATAGCTATTAGGTTCTAACAGGCTGATAAAAATCCGACAGGTCTGACAAACGCATATTACGCGAACCTATTCGATGTGATGATCATTTTTACTCTGTGACCATTATCGGCTATGCGCGATGACACTAGCAACTGTTACAGAACTGTACGTGATGTCACCGCAAATCGGCGATTTATTTATACGATGATGCCAGTTCTGTGACTAATGTGACGAATCACACTTCCTGCATTTCTCTGCAATCGTTGATGAACAGCCAACAGACTACCGACTGTCGGCGTAATTCTTATGGGACTGACATAAATGGCACAGCGATTGTACACGTCATGGCGATGGAAACGAAAGTATCGAGCAGACGAAGCTTTTAGACAAAGGCTTGAACTGGCGGAGGATTCGCCTGGAAAGTAAGGAAGTCAACTGGCGTGTACAGCTCGCGTTGGCCTGCAGTAGTTAAGTGGGCTTTTAGCGACCGCACCTCACCTCCTACATGCTTTTTCTCATAGCTCGAAACCTGTCATCTGACTAGCAGGCACACATTAAAGATCGTCCTAATAAGGGCCCGATGGCAATTGGATCGGCCAAACACTGTATCGGCGGCCAACGTTTTCAATGATCATTTGCAATAATATCTTATCCATTTCATCTGTATTATATCTTATCCACGGTGGCTTTTGCATGCCATTCGAAGTAGTCCGTAAATTGTACCGAACCCAAAACCATTTTTATCTTTGGACAAGTGACTGTCTACAATCAACTTTGCTTTGGCATATTCCTCGATTACGACGTCTACGTGGTCTTTCAACTAAGCTCAGCCGTTCCTTTGCCTATATTGGGTACCGTAGCTAAACTATGTTGCGACACATCTCGTAGTGCAAAATAGTAACAAGCCAACGCGCACTTTAATACAAGCAGCATTGGGCAAAGTACTTGATTAATCATTTGCAGATGGACATGTGTCATCCCTGACCAAAAACAATATTTTTTGAATAAGCACATATATTTTTTGATTTCTTCAAATTGTTTTTATTTGATTATTGTTGCTAAATAATTTGTGGTTTGCGTTGGCAATTACTCATACGCACACTTCTTCGATTATTACATCAATATCTTACATAAAACCACTACTTTGCACTATGCTACCCGTTAGATCCTAATCAAACTTTTATATTATCTGTCTGTTTTTGATACGAAGAAACCATGCTGTTCAGGCTGATTTAAATTCTTTTGAAAAATTATTTCTCAATGTTTTGTAAAACTTTCACGACTAGAGTAAATTTTATAATATTACAATACTATTATTTAATAATATGCATTATATGTAACAGTCAACGATGAAAAAAATTGCAAATGTTGAGAAATGATGATTAGCCGAAAGAAAATAATTTCAGTCATAATTAATAATTATTATCATGAACCAAGTGATCAATATCAACGATTTATTTGTTTTAGTTATAGTTTACAGTAGAAATAAGTAACATTAAAAAAAAAAACATCTTTTATTAATTTTTTATTGTTTTTTCTTTTTTTTTCAAATAAAAAAGACATGAAGTTAACTTTTAATGAAATCTAAATATTTTCTGTTATAGATGAACTAAATATATAGTTTATAATTACTACATAAATCATAAAAAATGGTTATTAAAATAAATTGATAAAAAAATATTAAGTTTTGAAAATTATTGTTTATTTTAATAAGGATTGATCTTATAATTTTTGTATTCAACAATGAATGCAATGCATGTTGCATTTTTACAATGTAACATGTATTGAATTCTAAAAATTTAAATAGTTACAACTACAATGTTTCGATAGCGAAAAATTCTATATAAAGAAATATTTTTCGTGTATAAATTCATCAAGCGCTTTCAAGTAACTAAGAATAATCTTTCTTTTAAATAAATAAAAATAATAATGCATATCACTGCACGAAAATTGCGTGAAAGTTTTGTGTAAAATATGTTAAAAATATGTAAAAGTTTTGTGCAAATGGTGTTTCAAAATTTGTACACTGCCTATACTGATTTCATAGAAATTTTAAGCAAAATCGTTAATGGTATCATTACTTGAAGAATGCTACTAGCGTTTGGAACTCTGCAGAGATACTATTCGTATCAGGAGGCATTAACGTCGGTTCCCTGTATAGTCCAATCAATAGAGAAAATTGCAGAGAAAATTTCAAATATGGAAAAACTCGACAGAAATATGTCAAATATATTGTAAATAGATACTCTATATATCACGTAACTTGAGATTTTCATCATTTTTTTTAAGAGGTCAAAGTTTGTAATAACATGCTTTTGAAGTCTGTAAGCCACGGTGTGCATTTTAGGTAAAAAACGTTTAGATATAAATTATAGAGAAATTCAACAGCTACATTTTAAGCTTAGCACGATAATTTTCATTCATTAGTTATTACGAAAATGGCCATTGTTAAAATATCAAATATTTATTACAAAATTAGTATTTTTAAAAGATAAGAAAGAAAAAAGTACAGCACATTAAATATCGAATGCCACTATATGTACTTCTTTATTTTTATTTTTATAACTACGATTTATATAAAAAAATCTAATTCGGCTTCTATTAATCGAAAATAAAATTTTTTTTAAATATCCGTCGAGAATCCAGCTATCAAAATTGTTAAGTGTAAAGAATCTGCAATGTATAGGGAAGCCACAAATGCATTTATTTATAACAAAAAAGCGTTGTTTTTTTAAGCAGAAAACAAAGAATTGAAACAAAATTTTTTCATTCACCACTAGTGAATTATCAAAATTGACGTTTTGACAAAGACATTGAACTGTTTTGCAATTCAATCCCCTCGGCCAAAAAAAAGTTAGGGCTCCGTACTTTAGTCACCTCTTAGTTAACTAATTGAAATATCTAAGCAACTAATAAATATATTCAATCGCACGAGGGCTCATTTTTTACAGAATTGTAAGAGCTTTCTCTTAACAGTAAAAAAATTAAAAAATATTAATATTGCAAGTTAAATATATATTTAATATAAATATTTAAAAAATTAATAAATATTAATATGCAATAAAAAATGGCCATTTTTAACAGTTATTGGTACTTTTTGCAATAACTAATGAATGAAAATTATCGTGCAATAACTTGAAATTTATCTTTTTAATTTCTCTATAATTTATATCTAAATGTTTTTTATTTAAAATACAAATCATGGCCTACAGAATTTACAAATATGTTTTTGCAAACTTTAACCTCTTAAAAAAAACTGATACAAAATCTCATGTTAAATGATATATAGGGTATCTATTATAATACTTCTGACATATTTCCGTCGAGTTTTTTCATATTTGAATTTTCGTCAAAAATTTCCGTTTTTTATCACTATTGATTAAATTAATAACGATAAGAAGTAAGCTATGGCACAGGCTGGCCAAGGTGGCAGTTTCGTAGTCGCTTGAACGCTGGCATGGGCCGCCGACGTATCTTTCAGGGCGAGCCATTGAGCCTAGGAAACTGATCGCGAGCGTTGTTTGCAGGAGTTGCGGAGCAGAGCGCGGTTGCGCGCGGGAATGGCGAGGTGCCACGGTGAGCAGCTGCCAGCCGAGACGAACGGAGAAGCAATGCGGCAAAAAGATGGGCCCGACGCGGCAGGTTGAGATTGAAGGCGGAGGCGCGCTGGCGGGCGAGCTGCAACTGGGCTACGCGGCCTGCGAGGCGCTCGTGGCGGCGTGCGCGATTCTGGGCAACGGCCTAGTGATCCTGGTGTTCGCCAGGGAACGCAGGCTGCGTCGGCGCACTAACTATTACATCGTCTCACTAGCCTGCGCCGATCTGCTGGTCGGCCTTTTTGCTATCCCGTTTGCCGTGCTGGCGAGCGTCGGTCTGCCGCGCGACCTGAACGCCTGCCTCTTCACTGTGTCCGTGCTTGTGGTGCTTTGTACCATCAGCATCTTCTGCCTGGTAGCAGTCTCCATCGATCGCTACTGGGCCATACTATACCCGATGGGCTACTCGCGTAGTGTGCGTACCAGAACAGCCATCGGTCAGTCCCTCGCCCCAAGCCATTGGCTAGGCGTCGCCAATACAAGTGCTGCTCATACATCATATACTCTTTTCCCTCTCTATCGCAGGTATGATATGCACCTGTTGGCTGGCTGGCACGCTAGTCGGCTTCCTACCGCTGCTTGGTTGGAACGCCGGGCGCAAGTCTGACGGCCAGTGCGTCTTCGTCGAAGTTATGGACTACGACTACCTGGTATTCCTGTACTTGGCGACCATAGTGTTACCGGCGCTGCTGATCGGTGCCTTCTACGTCAACATCTATCGCGTGGTTCTCAAACAGGTATGGTGCCGAACGCGTTGACTTTGTTGCGTCAACCGCTGGCTCATTGCACTCGTCACTCACTAACCGCAGCTACGCCAGATGGTTACGTTGGAGCCAGGCTACGGGCGCGGTCAACCCGATGGTCACGGCACGATGCTGCGGCTGCTGGGAGCGGCGCAGAAGCGCGAGCTCAAGGCCACACAAAATCTATCACGCATCGTTCTCTTCTTCATCGTCTGCTGGTTCCCCCTCTACACCATCAACTGCGTCGAAGCGTTCTGCCCGCGGTGCCAGGTCAGCCAGGTGCTGCTCAACTTCTGCATCATCCTGTCACACCTTAACTCCGCTGGCAATCCTCTGCTCTACGCCTACCACCTTAAGGACTTCAGGGCCGCCCTCAAAAGCTTTGTGCAGGGTTTGCTGTTCTCGGTGACGCTGACCGCTAGCGCCGCCGTCTGTCGCCCAAGATACTTGGTCGCCGGCGCCCCGAGGTATATATAACCTTGAGCATCCGTCGCCGTTACACCGTTGACTGCGCCAATGGCTGTTGCCAGTTGCACCTGCTTCCTCGAACCAGCCAGCATGCAGTTGAGCTCGCAACGCCTAGCGAACCTTGCTGCTTGCTCCTTACAAACGACAGAGCAACGAGCTTAGCGTAGCAGTCTACGAGCACTGTCGTTAGCTAACAGAGCTATTGTTTGACGTTACAGTGGCAGCAACAGAAGGCCTGGCGGTCTTTCGGTAATCGTCGCTGCTATGAATGGCAACGACAGCATCGATGAGGTCGATGACAAAAAGATGAACATCAGGACGCTGGGATTGAGCTCGCCGCTACTGGTAGTCGACTGTGCAAGCCGCCGCGGTGCAGTCGCCAGCAGTGGCAGTTCGAGTGGTAATAATCTGAGTGCCGCTCGCGCAGGCCTAGTGTCGGGGCTGGGTTCGAAGAAGTCCGAGGTCGCCGCTCACGACGTCACACCGGGTAACCTGCCTTTGACGCTCGAGCTAGAGACCTGCGAGTTCCAAGTCGCATTACAACTTCATGATCAAAACGAGCGCAACAGGCCAAGCGTTTCACGTCAGCACTCGACCCTCATTGCCGACGAGTGAAGCTATGGTCAAATTCTAGCTCAATAATGGAACTTTTCACCTTGAATTAGGCGTTTATTGTTGTAAACCGTTCGTTTTGCATTGTGGCCAGGAAATAGTACATAATGTACCAAGAGAGCACAGTGCACGGTTTTCCTACTACAATTTCGTGCTGCATGTAAAATTTTTTTATGCACCCCTATAGAGGAGAGACGCTCCGCCCCTAGCAGGCTACACAGAACCGCATCGACTGTCTAAAAGTAAAGTGCATCATGTGTGCACGCACTTTACTTTTAAAATTGCTTCGCTCGGTCAGCAACATCACACAATTCGTCTATTGCCCATTGCTCTCCTTTGGTACATATCGTACTAGCTATGCGTTCATTTGCAAACATTAATTGCAATATACCACGAATATATTAATAGACGAAATTGCAACCACTATCACAGCTTAGCTTCTAAACATACTATCGTTTCTCTCCCCGCATCTCTCACCTCCCCTATTTTATAGTGGCTTTGTATTGTGACCAAGGTGTTCTCATTCTGACATTGAACGTGCTGCTTATCAATAGCTTGTTGACTCCGCTTTTATGGAAGAAAATAGCAATGAGCAACCACAACCATAAGGTGCTAATGATGAATCCTCAGATAACACGAGATTATTGAATTTATAGTTAGTTTATTTATTTACAACTTATATGTTACATTTGGTTTTCATTTCTTATATTACAATTGTGTCTCGTATCCAGTTTGTGTAATTGATAATGTGTGTGTGTGTTTTGTGTATATGAATACGTATGTAGGTGTGTCTGCAACTCTTGCGTTCCCGTCTTCTGCTTCTGTCTGTTCAGCTCTTCTTCCTATTTTTCTGTTGATTAATCTTCTCTTCCTCTCTCTCTCTCCAAGATTTGCCTTTTCCGCTCTTCTGTTTTTCTCTTTCTTGCATATTTTCTCTTCAACTTTTTCCTTTGTTACTTTCTTTTGCTTTTTCACCTTTGCTTTTCCTTTGCTTTTGCTCTCATTCTTGCTAGTCATTTCATCTATCTTTCTCCTTATTAGGGCCTTGACACCTTTTTCTTAATTCCTATTGCTCCCTCTGCTTTTCCTTTCCTCAACCTCACTTTTTTTATAATTTATAATTGTATCTTATAATTTGTCTTCTAATTAACCTTTTTCTTTCTCTTCTTCGATTCTTCTTCTTTTCCATTTTGCTCCATCCTCCAATACCTGCTTCTTTTCGCTTGTGTAGTTGCTGCTACTTGTGTCTTGTATGTGTGTGTGTGCATGTGTATGTTTATGTTTGCGCGTATGTTCGTGTTTTGTGTGTGTGTGTGTGTGTGTGTGTGTGTGTGTGTGTGTGTGTGTGTGTGTGTGTAGATGTGTCTGCGAGTCTTGCTTCTCTGTCTTCTGTTTCCGTCTCTCCTTAGGGCCTTGAAGTTTCGTCCTCTTGTTTTTCTTTTTCTTTCTTCTCTTCGTTTCTTCTTCTTTTCCATTTTATCTCCATCATCCACGCTATCTTTTCTTTGCTTCCTATTATTATTTTTTCCCATTCTTCCCCTTCCTTTCTGCGTTTTTCACATTTTTCTACTATGTGTTTCCAATTTTCTTCCTCTTTCATACACATTCTGCATCTCCTATTTTCTTCTTTTTCCCAATACCTGTTTCCTCTCGTTTCATTACCTAACCTAAACCTTTCCCTTATTTTTAGGTCTTTTATTCTTCCCTCTCCTTGAATTTCCTTTAACCTATACCTTTTCATTTCTTCTTTCAGTTCTTTCCACTCGTTTATGTATCTTGATTTTTCTAGTTTTTCTTCTAGTTCTTTTTCTTCTTTTTTCTTTAGCTCATCTCTTATTTCTTCCCAAAACTCTTCCCTCATTTCATCTCCCTCTTCCCTTTCTCTGTATATTTTACTTTTTTCTAGCCTTTTCTCTCTCTCCTCCTTACCCTTTTTATCTTTTTCATTTCTTTCCCTTTTCTTTAGTTCTCTCCATGCTTCTTTTTTTATTGAGCCATCTCTTTCTTCTCTTATTTTGTTTTCATACCTCATTACTCTTTCTAATGCTGTTTCTTTCATGGCAAGATTAAGTAGCGTGGTGCTCCAAGGGCACCCTTGCCTTACGCCTTTGTCTCAAACTCCCCAAATATTTCTTCTCGAACTTTTACCTTGCTCCCTGTTTTCTTGTATATTTCTTCTATTCTTTTCCTAATTTTTCTATTTATCCCTTTCTCTTTCATTGTTTCCCATATTTTCTTCCTCTTTATCTTGTCAAAAGCGGCCTTCATATCGGCAAAGAATACAAACAGTTTTCCTCCTTTTTCCCTTATTTCCTTCCCTATTATTGTTTTTAATATATATATTGCGTCCATTGTTCCTCTTTTCTTCCTAAATCCCATCTGCGTATTACTTAGCGTTTCTTTAGCTTCTAGTTCTCTTTCCAGCTTTTTCGTCAGTATTTCCGCATATATTTTATATCCCATGTCCATCAGCGTTATTCCTCTATAGTTTTCTACTTCTTCTTTCCTCCATTTCTTATATATTGGTACTATTGTTTCCTTCCTCCATTCTTCCGGATATCCTTCTCCGTTCCATATTCCGTTTAAGCATTTTGTCATATCTTTTATCAAGCCTTCCGTGCCTTCCATCCACGCTTCATTTGCTATACCATCTTCTCCTGTCGCCTTTTTCTTTTTCATTTTTCGTATTACCTCTTTTACTTCTCTTTCTTTGATTTCTTCACCTTCCTCTCCTTCGCTATCTTCGGTTTCTTCCGCTTTGCTTTCTTCCTTTTCTTTCTCTCCCAGTTATTCCTTGAAGTGCTTTAACCATTCTTCTTTTCCTATATTTTCATCTAATCCAATTCTTTTCTTCCTATTGCCATTCACATTATCCCAGAATTTTCTTCTCGTCTTATCTTTTCTTATTTCTTCTGCCACTCTTTTCCCCTCATCTTCTTTTACTTTTCTTATTTCCTCTCTGTATTCTCTCTTTGCTTCTAGGTATTTGCCTCTGTCTCCTTCCCCTTTTCTTACCTTATTTAACTCTGCCATCACCCTAGCCCTTTTTATCTTACATTCTTTTCTCCACCAGCTTTTTTTCGATCCTTTTTTTTCTTATCCATTATTTCAGATGCCACACCATATGGTCCAGTTTCTGAAGGATGATGTTTACGGAAGAAATTAAGAATTGATCCTTCATTAGCTAAAACTTCAGCTACTGCTGTTGATTCAATAAACTGTAAAAATACATGTTTTGTACTTGTAGCAAGTACCCTATAGGGGCTCAATTTAAAATCTAAGTTTTCTCGCCCCAGCAACTTATCCATTAAAGCAATTGCTTGTAAAATCAATTGATCTTGTCTTAAACCATCACCATTTTAAAAAATAGCAATATATTTTGTATTAGCTGTTGTGAGGAATGTTAACTTTGATGGCATCAATGCTGATTTGAAAAGGGTAGCTTTTTCAGGTTTTATGGCTTTTATGCAAATATCTGGATCAAGAGGGAATGGTATAGGTTAAAAATTGGAAAAGTTAACTTTGAATAATGCATCATCATCTGCTAACAATGCATGTAATCTTTCTATTTTTCTTTTACGATTGCCAGTTTCTCGTGCTACTGTCTTGACTAAAGATACTAATTGATCCACAAATACCTTCTGCTTATCCAAAAAAAGCTTTTCTTTTTTGTCAAACACTGTTTCCAAATGAAAGAGCATTGGTGAACATTTTCATAACAGAAACATACATTTCTCTTACACGTGTATCTTGTTTGAGACTAATTATTGGATCTAATTGGTCTTCACATTCAATTGAAAGCTACCAGTAAAGATAATTAGCTAATGTTGAATTTTGACAAGCACGTGTAATGAGAAAGCTAGCTAAGTTATTCTGAGCACTTGGATTTAAGAAACAATCATTTTTGCATTCTATTGAAATAGTATTGTTTTTAGATGAAAATAAATCATTATTATTTTTGAATTTTTGATCATTAGTTTCACCTAATAAACACTTACTACTAAAAACTTCACTAGCTACTTTTGTGCTCTCAAAATCTTCATATTTCAATGCTTGTACTAATTGAAGCAAATAAAGCACCAAGTCATCTGGTGCTTGATTTAAGCGACTGATTGCATATTTTCTCACAGCTTGATGTGTAAATGCTGGACCAAGTAATTCAAGCATCTTCTGGATCAGGAGGAGCCCATGATGAAAGCATTTCTAAAGCTTGACGTTCTTCACCAGGTACTCGCCAATTAACACATTTTACAAATTTAGTGAGAGCTTTTTTTGAGTAGACAAATAAAATCTAAATTTCCATATAAGATCTTGCTCTTCTGTACATAAGGCCTCTGTTGGTGGATGGATGAATTGTATTTAAAGCATCACGAACATTAGAAGTTGGTTTCAATTCTTTATTATTTCCTCCACTTCTTAAACTCCTAACAAGTTTGTGATGTTTGCGAGAGAATGATCGGATTTTCAGCCTCAGCACTGCACTGTATACACTGTAGAACTCATATAGGGATATCTGGTGATTAGCAAATGTTTGACCTGTTTTATCGACTAACTGCCGCATATTACTAATTTTTACATTTTCCTCAATTTTGGATAGAAAATCGACAAAAGGAAAATTATTCGTAGTCCGGGAATAGGGAGCTATCATCCGCTATCGATATTATTTCTTTTTAAACAGGAGAAAAATGTTTAATGCATTTTGCGCGCTGAACGAACGCCCGATTTTTTTTCGGAATTTTCTTAAAAACGGAAAATCCGGAAATAAAATTTCAAGCGGAGACATAATCCGGAAAAAGGGAGAAAATGTTTTAGCTCATGAAAACTCAAAAATATGATTAAAAATTTTTTTGGGCGTCAGATTCGTAAGTCTGTACACAGCACCTTGAAAACAAAATCCAAGTATGAGTGTGTGTGTGACGCACACTCTTAGCTTGGCGTGGCGCGCGGACATTGGCGAGAGCTAATCGGACGAAATCGGCCTAGCCGAGATTCTCCGTTACAAGTTTAAAAAAATACGTGTGTTATATAGGTGGAAAAGGATGAAAACCTATAAAGTAAATATCAATTGTAATCATACTTATTATATATAAAAATTTTAATAAAGGTGCTGTCAAATATAGTCGAAATCATTAACTTACTTTCTTAATATTACTACTTTATTAACGTTGTTAATTGTTTTTTACATTACTTT